GTCGTCGTCGGCCTCTAAGAATCACCGACACGCGATTGCAGTCGACCGTCTCTAGTATTCCGTCGCAAACTAAACAGTAACTCGACAAGTTTGGATCATCGTGCGTTGTCGGTCGGGATCGTTCCAAGCACGCGGCCCACGGAGTATCGTTTTTCAACCCTAATTGGATAGACCGTTCAAACACGGCGTAGCCAAGATGTCGGGAATAAAATAGAGGCGAGGAGCACGGCGAGATCTTCGCCGAGGGAAATCCGGGGCACGAATATCGGATATCGTTTCGTACTATAGCTGGGCGTTATTCGAAGGCGCTACTTAATTATCCACCGGCCTCTAATCTGCCTGCGCCGACACACACGCCACGCTATGCATCCACCAGAGAGGCCGAACCTAAGCCCGAAACCTAAATCTCACCTTAACTCCGGCGATCCCAACTCGGGCCTGACCCGGACCAAACGCGAAATTACGAGATTTTCTTCGCCGTTGTTTAGAATTCTGAATATTTTCCAAGCGCGGACACACGCGGTCGGTTTCTAGATGTGTCGTGGAACGCCAGGCTCGTCGTTGGCGCGAATGGGACAGCTGATGAGCCGGTGTCCCCGAAGGCGATCGGCCGAGACCAATCAGCGTCCGTCCGTCCGCGCCCTAATGACACCTGCAGGCTAAAAGGCCATGATATTCAACAGTCGGACGCTAACGAACTCTCGCACCGTGTGATCGGCCGTGGACGTTGGCGAGGCCCGATTACAATTCATTTTTCCACGTGGAATACCAGCGACAATTTTTCAGAGCATCGACAGGAGGAGGCAGGTGGACGTTACACTATGCCAGGTAGCGTAAATGATAACGCGGTTGCTGGCCGTTAATAGGTCGAACAGTTCGATCGGTTCGCCGGTTACGCCGGGTCACCTATTTGACCAAGCAACCGTTCAGCCGATTAATCATCGTTTTGACAGTTAAATTAACGGTTCGCGCGAATTAGTTTAGATATCCGTCGTTCCATTAAGTTCCCCGGCAATATGTTTGGCCCCTAAACGGTGTCGAAACTCGCGATCGCGTTTGTTTTCCGACGCGGTGCAATTCTCCACGTGTCATTAATATCTGGCCGTAGACCAGACTGCAAATTAAACCGCTTAATAAACACTATCCGGAGACGGGAACTAGACGTCTTGTCCGATATTCCGCCGACCACTAACTAGATCTGTCTAGGTGCTTATCGATCTACGGGTTATTATTATTATTAAACGCGGGGTGGGGGGGTTACGTGCGTGGCGTACCACCACGAAAAAACTCCGCGTACTCGAAATCCTCCAAAGTATACGGTTCGTGTAATAACAGGGAAAGCCGGTAGCTCCCCCCCCGGAATAACAAATGAAAACGTAACGGCGTAACTTTGACGTCTGACAGACCCCGTGAACGTCAAAATCAAAACCCGTCGATCAATCGTCCTAATGATCGTTCGATGTAAAACGATCGCTGATCACGACGACATCGAGATAACGGTACCGAACGTTGGACCCGGGCCATTAATTCGGGAATAGGAACGATCGTTAACGGGCCCCGTGCGGATCGTTGGCGAATTCGCGGTGCGTGCGTGAGCGGGGAATGATCGAGGGATCGAGGATGACGTCAGGTTGACGGAACGGAACGGAACGGATACCGGATAGGTTAATGGTAAGGAGGCTGAGGACCAAGGCATGGGTCTGCCAGCGGCTCGGCTCCTGATTACAGACCTCCGGATCCCCTACACTCTCGCTCTCACCTCGGTTATTGTACCGAGCGAGGCCGGAGGATCGCTATAGATCACCAGTTTGTCCGATCACCGCGGCCAGAAGTGTTGCAACCCGTGAGCGCGGAGGTGGTCCCAGGCATTCCAGTTTCACGAGAAATTTATCGGTGGCGTTCCGCGGCCTTCTTGCGCGATCCTTGGGCCCCCCACCCGAGAAATCGAAGACGACGCGAACAGGCCCCCGCCAGGGACGTGGTTTTTTGCGTGATGGACGAGCCACGGTGAACGAGGAAGCCGTCCCGTATCGCGAGAATCGGTTAATCTCGTGGCTGGAGCACCAGAGGGGGGTGGAAATAGAACGAAAAGGGAGAAACGATCGAAGGAAACGAGGTTAACCGTCGAAAGAAGCTTCAACAACTTATGATCGATGCAGTGATATAATATTCTTTAAGCGCCAAAGGAAGTGGAACGGGTCTCCGTACATAATTGTATATTATAGCTATTCTGCTACGTACATTTAACTTTGGAAATAGAACGGTCGTCGATATTCTTTGCGAACGTCTGGTTAGTTTCAGGAATGGGACGAGACCAGCCACCGGGGTTCGCGAGCTCTCGTTAGCTAGTCCGGCCCGAAAACAAGTCCACCTCCCGTGTAAATGAACCTCGTTGGCGGGAGGAGGATCAAAGACCCCGCAGGTAGGGCATCCCCGGAGCAAAGAGTAGCACAGGTCTACGAGTAATCTAAAAAACGCCGACGAAACGAGAGGGAGCAGCGGAGGCGGATGAGGCGGTGGAGATTTCGACGTACCGAGCAGGTCGTCCGTGATATCGTATTAACGAGGCCCCCCGGTGATGGGCCCAGCCTAGATTCGCCAGTGTCTAATTACATCGTGGACCGAGGGAAAACTCGTTTCTCGCGTGCTGAAGCGGAGATCGCGTCGAAATTATGGATCTGCTACGGGGCCGCAAGTTGACTGACGCATGACTGGGCTGCGGGTTAGGCGAGTCAACGAGCAAATGAGTCCGAATTACGTGGGCGTGTCAATGCCCCGGTCGTTATTGAGGAATCTTCTCCGTTGGCGGATTATGCAAATGGTGCGTGTGCCCGTGTACCTTCGATGACTGGGTAAGTTATCGGGAAGCCTCGATGAAAAGTCGATGATCTGACGGATACCTCAGCGAGATATGCACAATTATTCCTGCCTTTCTAACTTTTGTAATATACCTGCGAGGAGGATCGGTTCTCGTTTTAAAAACGAGCGTGGGAGTAGCGAGGAAAGGAGAGAAGTTTCGATAATGCGATCGATGGAGCTCGGAAGACCGGAAGACAGTTTATTCCCATGCGACGTAATTCTCGTTTCGCGGAGAACCGGAGGACAATAAACGAAATTACGCCGGCGCGCCGGGCTGGATATCGACTGAGTTATTGGTTGTATCGGCTATATCGAGAAAATTGGCGGCGGTCATCATCGCCATTATGAATTCTTTATTTGGATGTTGCGGCGGCTGGATTACAGGGCGGCGCGGGCTACCTTGCTTACTGCTTCATACATGGACCCGTCGAACCCAGCGACGGCTACGAACCACCCTCCTGCTCGAACCACCCAACAAACGCGTTAGCCGTCTCGTGTCTTTTCCAAAAGTTTCAACGAAGAGAAGACGGGATCGCGAAAGTCGCGATTCTCGTCTTATCGAGAATGTCTCGAGCCGGGTTCGCTGAACACGAGTCGTACCGTAAAACGTGTAATCAGCGTGCATGCTCGTCGCGCGTAATCGCGCTTCTAATAGACATCCTAGATTCAGCAGCGATTAATCGATCAACGCGCCGGTAACGACGCGTGTTTTATATCGAGATAATGGACGACAGACTAATGACGGGCTCATTAACGAGACTCGATATAAAATGGTTCCGTTTAGTATCAGATATTCCATTAACAGGAAGTGGGACGAGGTATATCTATCGTGTATCTCTTGTCGCTGGATAACGGTTTGCCAATGCCTGATTAGCTTCTCTATTTACGACGTAGCCGCGACTCTATTAAAAACGCGCCTGTTACGAATCACTTTTGCGCTCATCGATCCCTCGAAACGTTGATTATGACGAATGCCAGGCTTCTCGCGAACGTATTCGCCCAGGAAACACGAAATGACTTCATCTTAATAAATTACGGCTCCGGGTAAACCATAGCGAACGACTTCAAAAAGGTTCTCGGAAGGGCAGCGTGTATCGCGCTATTTTTGGAGAATAATTCTCATCCGTTTCGTCAGTCGTCTTTGAAGACACCGATACCGAGTTATGCGCGGTACGTCTGGCGCGTTACATTACGTAAATAACGATAAATTAAAAGAACGGTAACGTATACCATTGCGCGGATCGTACGACGATAAATATTCGAAACAAATTCTTTTGTCCTTGATTCGAATGCCGCGTGTCACCTGGTGCCACTTACCTGTCACCTAAATCTTCCGCGCGATGGATCCAGCGTCGATTCGAGGAGCGGGCGAGCGAAACGGGTAAAATAGCAATTATTTCGCGCGTTTATTTTAAATGTCTCCATTTATTTAGACTCGCTATACACAGTACTAAGTCCGTTCACACACACGCATTCTCGTTTGTCCCTTTCGCGCGTCTATCACCTCGTAAACCACTAAGCGCGTACGCGATACGGATTTACATCTTATACGCGGTCGTAAAGCTCGCTAATTAAACTGATGATCAGGTATATTGCAGTGTCCCATTCTATCGTTTTATAATTCTTCTCGATTTTATTCTAATCATGTCCGACGACTCCATCTCTCGTTAATACGCATTATTATCGGGCGAAACGACGTATATACAGCTTATGTACAGGATCGAGCCTCGCGTCGCGAGGCTTCTTTATAATTTATAATACGCTGTAATATTTACTTAATAACTTATCATCGATTCTCTCTCCCCGGATCATTTGGCTTTCTTCGCGATCTTTCTCCCATTATTTTTTTTTTTTTTCTTCCGCAATAAATACAATATGATACAGGATGATCGTAGGCTTCGCCGAACGAAGAGAAATTTCATCCGGGTACCTTTTAAATTACGCGAATTCTATCTATCCGTCGATGCGAAAATACGAACTTGTCGAGAGTCAGCGGGCCTGTAAATATTTGGCAGTCTTTTTCATTTACAAAAACCTTTACGTTCGGAGAACAGTTGCATAGTCATCTCTCTCTCTTTCGACGAACGAAAAGTCCACCGTTACTTTATTCCCCCAAAAAAAAATACGAAAGCGACGTCGCCTTTGTACTATGCCTCGTGTCTCCCTGACTATGCCCACGAATTCTCGATACCCAAGAAGACGTGTTTTTTTTTTTTTCGAAACGAACCCATTTCCCTCGCTGTACTCGTTCCAAGTATTACGAAAAAAAAGAAGAAACTATCAGAGATCTCCTCCCCACTCCCACCTCGTGGGAATTAATTAATTTGTTCTTGGATTAGCTGCTCCTTCTACGACTTTTCGTCCATGGAGTTGGGCAGAGGTCGTTTCTTGAGGATCCCCAGGTCCTGGACGTTCTCGAGGAAGGTCTTGTGGTGTTGGGCGACCAACAGAGGGTTCACCGTCTGCACGTCCTTCTTCAGCTCCTCCATGTCCCTCTTGAGCTTCGCCCGTCTGTTCTGAAACCACGTGATCACCTGGGCATTGCTCAGGCCCAATTGGGCCGCGATCTCGTCCCTGTCCGCCGGGCTCAAGTACTTCTGGTACAGAAATCTCTTCTCCAGCTCGAAGATCTGCTGATTCGTGAACGCCGTTCTGCTCTTGCGTTTCTTCTTCGGCTGCTGGCGGTTATTGAACAGGTTCAGGTGATTCGCTTGCTCTGAAACAGAAACGGGTGAACGGTTGATCAGCAACTGCTCGTAGACGATATCTCGGGAGCAAGAACACCCATAAATACACCTTAGAACTCGAGGGGCCCCGCGTCGGTTCTAATATCGAAATTTCTTAATCTCCGAACGAGAGGATAGAAGAGAAATGCAAAACGAATCGGACATCCTCGGGGCGTCTTTGAACGCCGGGGCCCTAGACGGTCCCCTCTGCTTCGAACCACAAATCAGATGCATTTTCGAGCCACGGAATGGATCTCTCCATAAAAGTCGTATTACCTATTCGTTACGGTGTTCGGTCCATGGAATTCCAGGACAGCTTCTTGCCCCACGGGACGTTAAAACTCCAGTTGTTTTCGACCATTCTAACAATATCGTGGCAGGCTGCTCGAACCAGTCACGGGGATCGTACAATCACCGATCGATTAACAAGAACGAATCAACCGGCCGGGGATAAAACAACCACTTTGCGTTCGAGGCAACAATTTTTCTCGAACGATTAAAATTCCTACGTACGTTTCACTCCCCTCACCCCCCTCTCCCGATACAGTTTCGTTTCTGCTCGTCGAGTTAGAAGAAAGTCGTTCGAAACGTGTTACTCGAGACTGAAGAAAAAGTTGGTGCATTTGAATTGGATGACAGCGCGCGGACGGCAAGATCACCCCGGAAAACGGAGGCGGAATCCGCGATGGCGTTAGCCATTAGGAAATAATCGAGTCGAATGACCGAAAAAAAGTGGCGGCCGATGAGTCGTGGACAAGGTAGCCGAGGAGTCTACAGGATCAAAGAACGCCGCCATCGGTCACACCTGCGCAACCCGACTGTACAGTCCCACCTGAAAACAGCTTCGACGATCAAAACGATCAACCTTCCATCTCGGGTGTCTTTCTCATGGACGCGCCGTGCTATCGTTTCTTGCCGCGCTTTTTGAACCAGCTAGCACCAGCGCCACGATTTGCTCCGTTTTAGACGCAACATGGACGTTCTTTCTTTCGCCGACAGTGCATCGTCATCTGTTGGTTTTTAGAACGCACTCGGCGTCGACAACTTGTATCCACAGATCGATATAAAATTCTGCCTACGATCAATCGGTAATAAATCAAACGAGACGTCCAACGATCCCGGCCACTTAATTCCTTCTACGTAAGCCCTCGGTACGAGATTAGACGCGACAAAATAACAGGAACAGAATGTTCAATTAAATCGTACGACGAGGAAAGAAAAAACCACGGCGTAATTTTGCTCTAATATCGAAGGACGATGTCCGCGGAAGCAGGAAATCCTTTAATCGCAAATTGTTTTCGTAATGGACGTTCAGTGTTCAAACTTTCGCCACGAGTATTGACACCTATCCGGGGCAGGATGATGTCTATTACGGTCTATTACGACGACGAAGATTGCTTTCATAACGGTTCTCGGTGGATTTATGCGCGAGCTTGCACCTCGTTCGCTTTTCCTCCGGGATGGCTCGTTTTTCGCGGGACACACGTACCCCCCCCCCTACCGACCACCTTTCTAAATCGCGCCGGAAACGACTTAATCACCCGCGAGGAGGAAATTTAATGCTCGTCGAAAGTGTTATTACATCGCCGTAAAACACGCGGATCCATCGTCCCGGCCGATCGTAACCGTGGATTTTTTTGCTCCGCGGAATTGTCTAATTGTACGCGATTTGCCCGGCAGCCCGGGACAAGTGTCAGCCCTAATTACGATCGTACCACAGTTCGTTTACCTCGGGAATTATATCCTCACGATTTTATATCTTCCCTTTGGCGCCAATGGTAGGATTCTTCCGGGGGGGGGTGGCGTCTAATTCGGTCGAGAAAAATGGGCAACAATTTTGTCATCGAGGCGTCCATATTGCCGGTGGTCGGAGGAACCAGAAATACGGTGGCGAACGTGGTCGTGGACGGAGAGAAGCGACGGAGAAACGGCGAACGGAAGAACCGGAGAGCTTGCCGAGATATTAGTTTCTGCGGTCGACTCTCCGCGGAGATTTAATTCGTTTGATGTTCACGAATTCGCCGCTACGGCTGTCCTTTCGCAACCCGGTCCCCCCCGCCATTTTGCAGTTTGGTCGTCGATCTACGTCGCCTCGCGGATTTTCTCACCTTCCTTTGTGATTATACCGGGGGGATCCACTCTTCTCCGTTTGGCTTCCTTTTCGATACCACCGCGGTTCGACGAACGAACGGAACGCTGCTCCGTTGTTTACCCGCGAGTATTATTTTAATCCGCGGTAAGATTTACAATTTGTCACGTAAAAATCGACGGCGAGACGGGCAAGGACCTGCCATGCGATTCAATGTTGCAAAGCGGTCGCGCGTCATTAACTTCTTTGACTCGCTTCTGGTCCTCTTTGTTGCCTCTCCGCCGATTACGAGCGCGAATATATTAAAAGCGGCGTCGTCGCTCGTCGCCGTGGCCTGTCCCGCCATTTATAACCTATCAACGTAAATCACGTTTTAACGCGTTAATCCGCAGACGTACGGCGTCCTTTAGCCGGAAGTAGCCGCGTTGGCACTCGAAGCGACTACGTCGGTCCGAGCATCCCGCACGCCAATTGGCGTGTCGTGTCGCTGTTACCGTGAATGACCGAAATTGGAGAATGTCAACTTTCACCGGTGAATGTCAACAGATACCAAATATGTCGGTGAAAGATCGAATATTTCATTACATTGTTGTACATTTGGACCCTCTCCGGTGTGTGTCGACAATCACAGATATGCTCTGGTGGAGGTCCAAAACAGAAGAGTCAAAAAACAAGCGACTGGCTCTCTCCCGCCAAATCCTTTGTTCTGCTCGGAGTCAATCAGCTTTGTCAGTCTTATGCAAGCTTTGATAACGCGAGCAACGTTTTCTTAATTTTTTTTCCGATACCCTAATTTATACTAAATGGATACTGCAGTAAATCGGGATCTTTTTCTAACCCAGACCTAACCCAGACCTAACCAAGACCTAACCCAGACTTAATTCAGACTTATTCCAGACCTAACCCAGACTTATTCCAGACCTAACTCAGACTTAATTCAGACTTATTCCAGACCTAACCCAGACCTAACCCAGACCTAACCCAGATCTAATCCAGACCTAACCCAGACCTAACCCAGATCTAATCCAGACCTAACCCAGACCTAACCCAGACCTAACCCAGACCTAACCCAGACATAACCCAGACCTAACCCAGACCTAACCCAGACCTAACCCAGATTTAATCCAGACCTAACCCAGACCTAACCGAGACCCTAGATCTGGGTTAGGTCTGGATTAGATCTGAGTTAGATCTGAGTTAGGTCTGGGTTAGGTCTGGATTAGATCTGAGTTAGATCTGAGTTAGGTCTGGGTTAGGTCTGGGTTAGGTCTGGGTTAGGTCTGGGTTAGGTCTGAATTAGATCTGGGTTAGGTCTGGATTAGATCTGAGTTAGATCTGAGTTAGGTCTGGGTTAGGTCCGGGTTAGGTCTGGGTTAGGTCTGGGTTAGGTCTGGGTTAGGTCTGGGTTAGGTCTGGGTTAGATCCTTTCAGAAAGAGAGGCGAAAAAGTTACGTCACCCTTGTGACGTTTTATAGCGACTGAATTACGGAGAAGAAAATATAAATCTCCAACATGTTCAACACTCACCATTAGTGCATGGTGAATGTCAACATTTACCGGTGTAAGTCGACATTCTCCAGATTTCGGTGTTTCACTGTAACATCGCGATTGATGCCGGGAGCCTAGATGCGACCGGTGAACTTGGAATTTCAACCTCTCCGTTTTTTTAACACGCTCCTTTTCCACTGTCGCGTGATCGATCGATCGCCACCGAGTTCTGTGTCAAGGGTCGAGAACGCGCACGATTCCCACACCATCGATAAATCGCGACTCCGTGGAATATAGATCAGCCACGGTTCTCGCTAAAAAGGCGTGTAAAGGATAGCGGTCGATGGAATGAAACGCGACGCGGAGATAACCGAGCGCGCCAAGCGAACGGTGACGAGACCTCAGCAGCCATTTTGGTTCCGCTCGGGCAGAAATCACTCGAGTAGAATAGCGTCGGAGTTAAGAGCCGCGACGATCTCGAAACGACGAGCCGCAGGTCTAATGGATTATTTGGTAACAGTTTCTTGTTAGCTGGCTTTAATACGGTCCAACTGCAAACATCGTTTCCAACTATATTCCGCCGCGACCGCGGCTAGCTTCGATGGCTCGTTTGCGCGCACCGAATTCCATCAAACTATCCGTACTGCTGAAATAACTGTTGCATTAATACGCGCGACTCTAACGACGTTTTGCGGTTCTTCGATCACCCGTTCTCTCTACGAACGGCCCTCCTTTTATAAACGTTTCTCGATAAACGACTTTCCAGCAACTAAGTCGCGCCACGACCGTAGCTATATTTAAAGTTAAACTGCGCGAATATTACGATTTTTTTCTCGAAAAAAGGAAGAACGGCTACTCGTTCGCGGAACGAATGCACGAGCAGTTATTAGAAGCGATCGCAAGGAAAGCAGAAGCGTACGTAACGTGGAATTATCAAGTGGCGGACAGGTAGGCCAGTTTGAGGAACGTGATTTTTGGAGCGAGACGAAAAACTAGCGGACCGGTCATAGCCATGAATCGCTCGAATAAAAAAAAAAAAAGAAACGCGGGCTGGTCGATCGAGTGCCTTCGCGATAAATTTATTTGTATCGCGTTCGAAAAATGTGAAATATTTGCAATTCGATGGGGGGGATGGTGGGTATCAAAATACTCGTTAGAAAATGACGGTGGCACGCGTCGTCGGTTCCCCGAATATTTTGCTAATAGGTCGTTCGCTCGCGAGGAGGACGCCACGAAGAATATACGAAGAGACACGTAAAAAGAGGCGGGACAGCGACACCGTGGAGCAATTTGGAAGTGTCTTCCGTCGGTCGACGGTCATTTGTCTCCCGGGGGGCAACCATGCGCGTCGTTTCTCTCTTTCTCGGTTCCTCCTCTCCCTTTCCAGCCCCCGTTTCGCCGTCTGTCCGGACC